GGAACATGATCAAGAAAATCCAAGGTAGGGGCTCTAAATCTACCATTAGCCACCATAAAGACAGAGACCAATTATTATTTAAGAAATCAGATATTGCTGATAAACGGGAAAACGTTTCCCCAATATTCGTCCTCATCTTATTATGTATCTCAATTCCAAAAGTATTAATAACAGCATGAAATGAAAACTACTAATTTCAGTTCAGATAATGGAGAAGATTACAATGAAATATTTTCTCTTCACTAGCTCCATACTGCACTTGTACAATATAAAAGATCATCAAACCCTGAAGCACTCAACAGAATTATGTGAAGAGACACTTTTAAATGTTCCTTTTACGAAATTTGCACGTCGAGGGACATTTTCTTGTTCATTGCGCGATGCTATCTATATGTTAGTCCCAATACCTAAACCTGGACGTGATCATACCGATCCATCAAATTATCTGCCAGTTTCACTGCAATCCAAGCTGTGTTTGCTGAAACCATCGCATACTGAAACCAAAATCTGCTTACTGATATACATTGTACGATGTGGTTTGCGCAAACACAGAAGTACCATTGATCACTGAGTGCGTTTAGAATCACTTGTCAAACAACATTCAGTGTCTATCTTTTTCGATTTATAAAAGCGCAGACGACACCACAAGGAAAAACGGAGTTTTAAACATTTACACGATCTCGGAAATTGCCAGGCCGTTTGCCTAAATTCATATACACGTTTTAAATTACAGAGAATTTCAATTCCGCGTGGGTTCTAAACTGTTTCATCGATACAGTCAGGATGAGGGTGTTCCACAAGGTAGTGCTTTGTCTGTCACTTCAGCCTATAAATTAATAGTTTATGAAAGGTTTTAAACGATTCAGTTGATGGATCGCTGTTTTTAACATTACTTGTTGTGTCAAAAGAATGTATACTCTTGAAAGTTAACTGCAATTATGTTTAAATAGAATAAATAAATAAATGGTGTTTAGAAATTTTCAAAATAAAAAAGATAAATTGTATCCACCTTTGTCGAACATATAAACCTCCCTTGATCCGGAATAAATTTTTAGACGGTACTCCTATTAAAGTTGTAATAGCATTATTTTCAATCACCATTTTATCCTTTTAGTCAGGTATAAAATATTTAAAAGAAATACATGCCCGAAGGCACTGGACATGTTAAATGTTGTTTCCAACTCGATGTGAGGACAATTTATACAGGGCACGTGTCCGTTTAAATTCGATTATGGCTCCCCGATGGTATAGCTTACAAAAGCAAAGTTAAACGTCTTGATTCTACCCAGCATCAAGATCTAAGACTTTGTGTTGGATCTTTCTACTGTTTCTACTAATAGTATTTACGTCGAAGCCGATGAGCCATCTTTAAAAAACAAATTATCAATGGAATGTATCACAAACCTATATTCTGATAAGCTCAACCCTGCTTACAATTGTGTTTTAATTCTCTTTATGAACATCTGTAGGACGTAAAGTCTTCTCTTATTCCGCCCTAGGAATACAAATTAAACCTTTCATTTCTGCTGCTAGCATTGGGCTACCTTTTCTCCTTCCGATTGGCAATTGGTCAGGTCACAGACGGATCTTTTCTTATCTAGAGTGAGTGAATGAGTGAGTATGGGTTTACGCCGCTTTTAGCAATATTCCAGCAATATCACGGCGTGGTACACACATTGTACCCATATGGGGAATCGATCCCTGGTTTCGTCGTGACGAGCGAACTTTAACTTTAACCACTAGGCCACCCCACCTTCCCCAATCTATATTAAAGACACAAATCAACTACAGCAACAAATATAATCAACTATAGTCTCTAAGAAGCACGTACGACACTTAAATCTATATCTACAGATGGGTCCAAATGTGGTGACGCTCTTGCCAGCGCCACTCTCATTTGATCCAGGACCTGATAATTGTTCTGTTTTGACCGTCAGTGAGACTATAAATCTAAGCACCCTCTTTATTGTTTTTCGGTTTTACACAGGATTCTTTCAGATGGGGATATCAGATTAATAAGTTGGTTAACTGTGCATATGTTAATAAGTGCGACTTCCCGTTGACATATCCTCACAAAGTATCTCCTTAGTAGAAGCCATTGGTTATATTTAGGCTAACATGACAGGAATAATATTTGAACATGCATCTTAATATTCTCATTTCAAGGTCAGTCTTCCTCATTTCTTAAATAGACACCCTAAATATACTCTCCCAAAAAGAAACGCATATAGGAATTTAAACTGTATTTTTATGTATATTTTGAAACATATTGTAGGCTTTATGAATCAATGAAATATAGCGAAGTTGCACACTGGGAATGCAGACTTATCCGTCTTTGGCACCAACTCGGGGAAAGTCAGTTTGAGTGTCACATGGAGACGTGTGGTGGCGCTGAAGTCAATATACCTCGATGTGACCACCGTGGGCATCCAGAACTGCACGGCATCGCCTCGGCATCGAACGAATAAGTCTCAGAATCTCGTGTTGCCCAGTCGCATCCCACTCTGCCTGTAGTGCCTGTGTGAGTTGCTGAAGTGTCTGGGGCTGAGGGTTACGGCGTCGCACCCGTCTGTCCTGGGCATCCCACAGATGTTCGATCGGGTTTAAGTCCGGTGATCTTGAGGGCCAGGGGAGCACAATGATGTTGTGGTTCTGGAGGAAGTCTCTAGTGTGACGTGCTGTGTGGGGCCTGGCATTGTCCTATTGAAACAACTCCCTCTGGCGATCAATGATTGGAAGGAGGTGTGGAGGTAGGATTTCGTCACAGTACCGTTGAGCTGTCAGGTTGCCCTGGATCATCACCAAATCACTTCTCCTACGGCAGGTGATCGACCACATCATAACACTGTCCCGGCCGAATCTGTCCACCTGGGGAACGCAAGCTTCGGCGAAACGTTCACGGCGACGTCTATACACCCGCATTCTTCCATCGCGTCGTTCCAATAGAAATCGTGATTCATCACTGAACCAGATTCTACGCCAATTCGGTAGGTTCCAGGCCTGAACGTTGGTGCACCATTGAACTCGATGTCGACGATGTTGTTGTCGAAGCACAGGGCCCAAATAAGGTCTTCTGGCACGTAAACCAGCCTCTGTCAACCTGTTCCTGACGGTCTGTGCAGAAAGCCTCCTCAGTCCGGGTATTTGTCGAGCGGTACTGGTCGCCGTAGCTGTTCGATGACGCAGGTGATGTACCCGGATGTAGCGATCCTGCGCTGCAGTGGTCGCTCGAGGTCGCCGCATTTTGCCGGCAATATCTCTCCCAGAGCCGTGAAATGGTGCTTTGGTGAACATTCATGCGTCGGGCAACTGCACGTTGAGACTAGCCAGCTTCAAGCAAACCAATAGCGATATGACAGTTGGCTTCACTTAGACGTGGCGTTCGTCAACAATATTCCAAATACAGTGAATAATCGACAGACAGCGATCAACCTTTTATACCCATCATTGAGACTATCTGATCCCTAACTTTCACGTGCATTGCATATGAATTGTGTATTCTGTGACACTACACGCCGAAATTGAAAATCATGCTGTTAAATACGGGTATTTTACGGATGGTGCGTTTTGTTGTGATGTTTCAAAACATAAACACCATAGGACTCCTAAACAGAGCAAAACCTTTTGTAAAATGAATCACGTTTTAATTTCATTGCTACATGAAATTTCTAGTTTCATGATGCGTTTCTTTATTGGGAGTATATATACAATATATCATATTTCCAAATTATCTTTCATGCCTTCAGGCTATTACACATATTTCGTGTAAGCATCCACTTTTAATTGATATATTTGAGTTATATAATGATCTTGCTACTGGCCAATACGACATCATCCTCTGTTGGTTACCAAGCCACGTTGGAATTTCTGGGAACACGATGGCCGATTTTGCTGCTAAGGCAGCACTCAACAAATCTGTGACACCACTTCTTATTCCATACTCTGATTACAAAGCTGTTATTAGATCTTATATCCGTGATCTTATGCAAAAGAAATGGGACCTCAAATAGGTATGAGATAAATATATGAAATTAAACCAACTATCGGTTACACCTACCTGGGTTGTCAGTCCAGATTTGAAGAGGTCATCATGCGACTATGTCGCATTGGCCACAACAGGTATTATCAAAAGTTGCGGATCCTCCATTTTGTATCCCTTTGTGAGAGTATCACAGTCTAGATTGTCCTGCTTGACTTTTGATTTGTATTGATTTTTCCGTCACCAGGGATAAGTATTTCAGTGCAAAACGGTTAAGGATCTTTTAGCAGTAGTAATTATCATTTAATTATTGAATTTAAAAAAAAAAAATGAACTAATATATAAATTTTGATAGATATGTTTTGAATATAGATATAAATTTTATCATTGGTAGTTAAATTAGCAACTTAGATTGTTAGTGGCGGTATCCTCAAGGGAGGGTTGGAAATACCTTAAAATTATTGTCCTCCTGAGGAGGGTACGTAAGTCCCAAAAACATTCGAAGTAAAATTTAATCTTTCACCTTTTACTCGTTGTATTATGATTATCATTTTGATTGTGGCCAAATTTGCCTACAATCGCCAGCGGCTGAAGGAAGGTGGTGTAAATCCAGCTAGGATCCATGCAGGTAGCAAAGGCATTGTAAGTCCCCATGGTCCCTAGCATGATGATCTACCTTCAGTTGTTGGGGATCTATAGCCCATTTTTACATTGTATAGTCTAAAATAGTTTTCTACTTTTAAAAATACGTCCTAGCTGGTTTTAACACTTTTTGTGATACTCTAGTTATTTTACAGTCCGTCGATGACTGGTTATTTGACTGCTTGTATTTATTGTGTATGTACAACCTTTCTCGTCTGTATGGCTGAAATATTACCGAGGTGACGTTAAATTTTAACTCACTCACTCTTTAAAATCTAAATTTTAGTAAGTCTTTTGTGTAACGCTACACATGTAAAATGATCGTGGGTTGCAAACCAACAAACACATGTCACAATAATTTATGCCCGGTATACTATAATATGAGGTTACGAGTTTATATGACATCACTTTTACAGACTTGTGTATTTGTATGCTCATGTACTGTAATGAAACAAGACGTCAGCTATCGATACGTACCTCCTTTCACACACAAAGGCACGTTGTGCAACACAAGTCCCATCGTCCCATTGAGAACGACCTGTCACGCCACAACTGAATGCATCGCTCGGTTGAAGTTGCATGTGGTTCTCCAGGCGCCCAATCAGTAAACTTGATTCTATTACCGCTGAATAACCAACTCCATCTTCTTGACCTTAACAGGTCATTACCACCTGTCCATACGCTTCCAGCTAGGAAAAGGAAATTGTGAACTGTTGACAAGAGACTGTATATTATGTTGGTGATGATCATCTGACAAGAGACTGTATATTATATTATGTTGATCATGATCATCTGACAAGAGACTTTGTATATTATGTTGGTCATGATCATCTGACAAGAGACTGTATATTATGTTGGTCATGATCACCTGACAAGAGACTGTATATTATATTATGTTGGTCATGATCATCTGACGAGAGACTGTATATTATGTTGGTCATGATCACCTGACAAGAGACTGTATATTATGTTGGTCATGATCATCTGACGAAGAGACTGTATATTATGTTGGTCATGATCATCTGACGAAGAGACTGTATATTATGTTGGTCATGATCATCTGACAAGAGACTGTATATTATGTTGGTCATGATCATCTGACAAGAGACTTTGTATATTATGTTGGTCATGATCACCTGACAAGAGACTGTATATTATGTTGGTCATGATCATCTGACAAGAGACTGTATATTATGTTGGTCATGATCATCTGACAAGAGACTGTATATTATGTTGGTCATGATCATCTGACAAGAGACTGTATATTATGTTGGTCATGATCATCTGACAAGAGACTGTATATTATGTTGGTCATGATCATCTGACAAGAGACTGTATATTATGTTGGTCATGATCACCTGACAAGAGACTGTATATTATGTTGGTCATGATCATCTGACAAGAGACTGTATATTATGTTGGTCATGATCACCTGACAAGAGACTGTATATTATGTTGGTCATGATCATCTGACAAGAGACTGTATATTATGTTGGTCATGATCACCTGACAAGAGACTGTATATTATGTTGGTCATGATCATCTGACAAGAGACTGTATATTATGTTGGTCATTATCATCTGACAAGAGACTGTATATTATGTTGGTCATGATCACCTGACAAGAGACTGTATATTATGTTGGTCATGATCATCTGACAAGAGACTGTATATTATGTTGGTCATGATCACCTGACAAGAGACTGTATATTATGTTGGTCATGATCACCTGACAAGAGACTGTATATTATGTTGGTCATGATCACCTGACGAGGAGACTGTATATATTATGTTGGTCATGATCATCTGACAAGAGACTTTGTATATTATGTTGGTCAATGATCATCTGACAAGAGACTGTATATTATGTTGGTCATGATCATCCTGACAATGAGACTGTATATTATGTTGGTCATGATCATCTGACAAGAGACTTTGTATATTATGTTGGTCATGATCATCTGACAAAGAGACTGTATATTATGTTGGTCATGATCATCTGACAAAGAGACTGTATATTATGTTGGTCATGATCATCTGACAAGAGACTGTATATTATGTTGGTCATGATCATCTGACAAGAGACTTTGTATATATGTTGGTCATGATCATCTGACAAGAGACTGTATATATGTTGGTCATGATCATCTGACAAGAGATATGTATATTATGTTGGTCATGATCACCTGACAAGAGACTGTATATTATGTTGGTCATGATCATCTGACGAGAGACTGTATATTATGTTGGTCATGATCACCTGACAAGAGACTGTATATTATGTTGGTCATGATCATCTGACAAAGAGACTGTATATTATGTTGGTCATGATCATCTGACGAGGAGACTCTATATTATGTTGGTCATTATCATCTGACAAGAGACTGTATATTATGTTGGTCATGATCATCTGACTGTACGAGAGACTGTATATTATGTTGGTCATGATCACCTGACAAGAGACTTTGTATATTATGTTGGTCATGATCACCTGACAAGAGACTGTATATTATGTTGGTCATGATCATCTGACAAGAGACTTGTATATTATGTTGGTCATGATCATCTGACGAGACTGTATATAATGTTGGTCATGATCATCTGACAAGAGACTGTATATTATGTTGGTCATGATCATCTGACAAGAGACTGTATATTATGTTGGTCATGATCATCTGACGAGACTGTATATTATGTTGGTCATGATCATCTGACAAGAGACTGTATATTATGTTGGTCATGATCATCTGACAAAGAGACTGTATATTATGTTGGTCATGATCATCTGACAAGAGACTGTATATTATGTTGGTCATGATCATCTGACGAGACTGTATATTATGTTGGTCATGATCATCTGACAAGAGACTGTATATGTATGTTATGTTGGTCATGATCATCTGACAAGAGACTGTATATTATGTTGGTCATGATCATCTGACGAGAAGACTGTATATTATGTTGGTTATGATCATCTGACGAGACTGTATATGATGTTGGTCATGATCATCTGACAAGAGACTGTATATTATGTTGGTCATGATCATCTGACAAGAGACTGTATATTATGTTGGTCATGATCACCTGACGAGAGACTGTATATTATGTTGGTCATGGTCATCTGACAAGAGACTGTATATTATGTTGGTCATGATCATCTGACAAGAGACTGTATATTATGTTGGTCATGATCATCTGACAAAGAGACTGTATATTATGTTGGTCATGATCATCTGACAAGACTGACTGTATATTATGTTGGTCATGATCATCTGACGAGAGACTGTATATTATGTTGGTCATGATCATCTGACAAGAGACTGTATATTATGTTGGTCATGATCATCTGACAAGTGACTGTATATTATGTTGGTCATGATCATCTGACGAGAGACTGTATATTATGTTGGTCATGATCATCTGACGAGAGACTGTATATTATGTTGGTCATGATCATCTGACAAGAGACTGTATATTATGTTGGTCATGATCATCTGACGAGAGACTGTATATTATGTTGGTCATGATCATCTGACAAGTGACTGACTGTATATTATGTTGGTCATGATCATCTGACGAGAGACTGTATATTATGTTGGTCATGATCATCTGACAAGTGACTGTATATTATGTTGGTCATGATCATCTGACGAAGAGACTGTATATTATGTTGGTCATGATCATCTGACGAGAGACTGTATATTATGTTGGTCATGATCATCTGACAAGTGACTGTATATTATGTTGGTCATGATCATCTGACAAGAGACTGTGTATATTATGTTGGTCATGATCATCTGACAAGAGACTGTATATTATGTTGGTCATGATCATCTGACAAGAGACTGTATATTATGTTGGTCATGATCATCTGACGAGAGACTGTATATTATGTTGGTCATGATCATCTGACAAGAGACTGTATATTATGTTGGTCATGATCACCTGACAAGAGACTGTATATTATGTTGGTCATGATCATCTGACAAAGAGACTGTATATTATGTTGGTCATGATCATCTGACAAGAGACTGTATATTATGTTGGTCATGATCATCTGACGAGAGACTGTATATTATGTTGGTCATGATCATCTGACAAGTGACTGTATATTATGTTGGTCATGATCATCTGACGAGACTGTATATTATGTTGGTCATGATCATCTGACAAGAGACTGTATATTATGTTGGTCATGATCACCTGACAAGAGACTGTATATTATGTTGGTCATGATCATCTGACAAGGAGACTGTATATTATGTTGGTCATGATCATCTGACAAGATTGACTGTATATTATGTTGGTCATGATCATCTGACAAGAGACTGTATATTATGTTGGTCATGATCACCCTGACAAGAGACTGTATATTATGTTGGTCATGATCATCTGACAAGAGACTGTATATTATGTTGGTCATGATCATCTGACAAGAGACTGTATATTATGTTGGTCATGATCATCTGACAAGAGACTGTATATTATGTTGGTCATGATCATCTGACAAGAGACTGTATATTATGTTGGTCATGATCATCTGACGAAGAAGACTGTATATTATGTTGGTCATGATCATCTGACGAGAGACTGTATATTATGTTGGTCATGATCATCTGACAAGAGACTGTATATTATGTTGGTCATGATCATCTGACGAGGAGACTGTATATTATGTTGGTCATGATCATCTGACAAGAGACTGTATATTATGTTGGTCATGATCATCTGACAAGAGACTGTATATTATGTTGGTCATGATCATCTGACAAGTGACTGTATATTATGTTGGTCATGATCATCTGACAAGAGACTGTATATTATGTTGGTCATGATCATCTGACAAGAGACTGTATATTATGTTGGTCATGATCATCTGACAAGAGACTGTATATTATGTTGGTCATGATCATCTGACGAGACTGTATATATTATGTTGGTCATGATCATCTGACAAGAGACTGTATATTATGTTGGTCATGATCATCTGACAAGTGACTGTATATTATGTTGGTCATGATCATCTGACAAGAGACTGTATATTATGTTGGTCATGATCATCTGACAAGTGACTGTATATTATGTTGGTCATGATCATCTGACAAGAGACTGTATATTATGTTGGTCATGATCATCTGACAAGTGACTGTATATTATGTTGGTCATGATCATCTGACAAGTGACTGTATATTATGTTGGTCATGATCATCTGACGAGACTGTATATTATGTTGGTCATGATCACCTGACAAGAGACTGTATATTATGTTGGTCATGATCATCTGACAAGAGACTGTATATTATGTTGGTCATGATCACCTGACAAGAGACTGTATATTATGTTGGTCATGATCATCTGACAAGAGACTGTATATTATGTTGGTCATGATCACCTGACGAGAGACTGTATATTATGTTGGTCATGATCATCTGACAAGAGACTGTATATTATGTTGGTCATGGTCATCTGACAAAGAGACTGTATATTATGTTGGTCATGATCATCTGACAAGAGACTGTATATTATGTTGGTCATGATCACCTGACAAGAGACTGTATATTATGTTGGTCATGATCATCTGACAAAGAGACTGTATACATTATGTTGGTCATGATCATCGGACAAGAGACTGTATATTATGTTGGTCATGATCATCTGACAAAGAGACTTTGTATATTATGTTGGTCATGATCATCTGACAAAGAGACTATTATGTTGGTCATGATCATCTGACGAGAGACTGTATATTATGTTGGTCATGATCATCTGACGAGAGACTGTATATTATGTTGGTCATGATCATCTGACAAGAGACCGTATATATTATGTTGGTCATGATCATCTGACAAGAGACTGTATATTATGTTGGTCATGATCATCTGACAAGAGACTGTATATTATGTTGGTCATGATCATCTGACAAGAGACTGTATATTATGTTGGTCGCGATCATCTGACAAAGAGACTGTATATTATGTTGGTCATGATCATCTGACAAAGAGACTGTATATTATGTCATCTGACAAGAGACTTTATATATTATGTTGGTCATGATCACCTGACAAGAGACTTTGTATATTATGTTGGTCCTTGATCATCTGACAAGAGACTTTGTATATTATGTTGGTCATGATCATCTGACGAGACTGTATATTATGTTGGTCATGATCATCTGACGAGACTTTGTATATTATGTTGGTCATGATCATCTGACAAGAGACTTTGTATATTATGTTGGTCATGATCATCTGACGAGAGACTGTATATTATGTTGGTCATGATCATCTGACAAGAGAGACTGTATATTATGTTGGTCATGATCATCTGACAAGAGACTGTATATTATGTTGGTCATGATCATCTGACAAGAGACTGTATATTATGTTGGTCATGATCATCTGACAAGAGACTGTATATTATGTTGGTCATGATCATCTGACAAGAGACTGTATATTATTATGTTATGTTGGTCATGATCATCTGACAAGAGACTGTATATTATGTTGGTCATGATCATCTGACAAGAGACTGTATATTATGTTGGTCATGATCACCTGACAAGAGACTTTGTATATTATGTTGGTCATGATCATCTGACAAGAGACTGTATATTATGTTGGTCATGATCATCTGACAAGAGACTGTATATTATGTTGGTCATGATCACCTGACAAGAGACTGTATATTATGTTGGTCATGATCATCTGACAAGAGACTGTATATTATGTTGGTCATGATCATCTGACAAGAGACTATTATGTTGGTCATGGTCCGAACAAGATATCATGAAGTTATCCCTCCATCTGGCAGTCAGGGACCCTATACGCTGTTCACAATTTTACTATCTGTTAACAATTGCCTGTCCTACAAAAACTCAAACTTTATGTGGAAGAGAGTCACAAGACTTACAGAGGAATTTTGTACATTAGGTAGTTAGCGGAGTAAGCCGAGTGAAATCAGTTAATGTATATAGTTATATTATAGTATAATAGTTATATAGTTATATTCCAGTCTTGCTATATGTACCACCACTGTTCCTGAGTAACTGCTTCACGAAGTCATTCTCCGAAGATGAGTCTATTTCAACCAGGAAGCCCCCAAATCGTTCACAGATTTCCTGTTGTGAAAACATCAAACTGTCATTGACATATGTTTGTGGTCCATAAGATCTGGCTGACCAACTGTTATTTACGGCACATGAGGCTAAAACTGAATCAATAGATTTGAAGTACGACCACGGGTTACCTGCACTAATCATAGTACAGTAACACGTGTGTAGCATTATAAGTAGTAGCATAACTGTAAATATTTTAAAAGTATCACCACAAACATTCACTAATCACGTACCGCCGCGCCTGTCCACGTTTCTTTGAAGTTCACATAGGCGTAGCAAGACTCTCCGTAATAAGACCAATCTTCAGGGCAGCCGTTGGATGCTGCAACATTACATGGGAAGTGATGGTTGTGTAAAAGACTGATGATTACACACACACACACAGACGCACACACGCACGCACGCACGCACGCACGCACGCATGCATATATATGTATAATGCAAAAAGATAATAACATGATTTGTGGTGTTTTCCTTAGTCAGTGTTTTACTGCTGGCAGGATAATATCGATATGTATGATCTGACACTAGGCATCATGACACACCCTTGAAGAGATGTGGTGTCCAAATACAGTTTACGAATTCAGTATCGTGTGTGTCCACCATTGGCGTTGATACAGGCTTGACAACGACGATGCAAAATGACACTTAGCGATTGAAGAAAGCTCGGGGAATGGTGTTCCATGTCTGAACCAACTTTGTCTCAATTCGGCTAACGTCATTGCCTGATTCTTGGCCTGACGTAAACGTCTCTCCATGTGATCCCAAGCGTGCTCGATAGGGGACAAGTCTGGAGAAACAGCTGACCAGCGGAGTACCGGAATGTCACAACACGAGCGACATGTGGACGGGCATTGTCTTGCTGAAACGTGAAGTTACGTCTCCGTCCTTGAATGAACGGCTGCACATGAGGCCCACTGATTTCATTCCTGTATCGCGGACCTATCAGATTGCCACAAGTTATGTCCGACCATAATTTTCAATATCAGGTGTGTACACTTCAGGAGTAAAAAAGCATGCAAAAGTGAATAAGTGCACGTGCCACGCGCGATACATGACATCAAATTGCATGCAAAGTGCTTTGCTACATCTTTATTACCTCTTCTGATAACATTTTATACTGAGTCAAAATAAAACTTCATAATTCATATTTGTATATAAAATATATATATGGACCCTAGTCCAGGTCGATCACGTGTGACGTTACAGGCGGCGGAGCGTCAAATCGTCTTTGACGGCTACAGGAACCAGACATGAGTTGTTTAGGGGTCGACTGTCGGCACAAACCACCCGACACCGGTTGCGAGCTGCTCACCACCGTGTTCGACGGCCATATCGCGGAACCATCTTGACGCCATTACATTGACGTCAGCTGTGGGCCCGACAACACCTCCGATGGACTCCGAGAGACTGGAATCGAGTTGTCTTCAGTGATGAATCAAGATTTACCCTCACGTCGTCCAGAACGGTGGTGATCCTTCATCTCATTGGTATCTTTGTGTTTTCTGACAAACAGACTGTTGAGGACATTCATTTCCCGACTAATCACAATAAAGAACATACCAGAGTTATGCCTACCAATAATAGGCCATATCTGGGCATCAGATAATCTTCTTTGTGCCATGGCAGAAGAGAAATGAACATTTTAACCCATACAGGACATTTGACAAGGGCACAAATGCACCTGTGAACTGTCGTGCACTCGGGTTTGCTTCTGATGCAAAATGCAAAAGAAGTGGGAGATATAAATAAGATGCATTAAATCAAACCAGCTATCAGTTACATCTCCTTGGGTTGTCAGTCCATATTATGCGACACATTGTATTGGCCACAGCAGATGTAAACCAGAATATTTATTGAAAGGAATAATGTTTTCCTTTTTGCATCCCTTGCTATGAAAGAATCACAGTCAACCATATCTTGCTTGACTGTATTGATTTTAAATATTCCATGCAAAGCAGTTAAGGACCTTTTAGTAAAATTCATTTTCATTTAATTTGTGCTTTTTAAAAGTCATACATGTTGATTAGTTACGTATTTAATAAATTGGTGGCATATGGTTATTGACTGAGGTTGTTTGTGGTAGTCAGCGGGCTTTGGTGTACCGTAAAGTTGTTATCCCCTGAGATGGAATGTAAGACCAGGTCATTCAAGGCATTTTATATCTACCACTGTTTACATAGTATAAGGTGTTGTATAACATGTTACAGTAAGACTAAGTGGCCCCTGGGTTGGTGATCTATGATCCGGTTTTATATTGTTTCGTTCTCTATAGTGATATCGTTTTATAATGGCAAGCTAGTTTTAAGACAGAATCTGTGACAGTTTTACTGTCTACTGACGACAGATTTTTATAGTTTAATTGCATTCCTTCCTTCTATTTAGGCATAATTTGCTCTTGTAATGGTATAGCTGAAATATTGCTGATGTGACGATAAGTATAACTCACTCACTCTGAGTCACTCTCAGCTAATGTATGTCAACAAAGATCGTGCCAACTCCAGTCAACTGATTGATGTTTTAATGACTGATATGCTTGATTTGTCTGTCTGTGGGAGATAAATGTTCTGAAAACACGCCTACCAAACCTAGGCATCTGGTTCTAAAGCAACATTATGATCTGTACACTTGGTAAACCCGGATGTGGAGAAACGATGATATAGTTAGCCAGGGTGTTCTTTACACCTTGGCGAGGTAAAGCAATATGACACTATGTTGCCCGTTAATATGACCCTGAGGTGGCTAAAGGTAGAACCAGCCATCACTCCACATAAAAGGTAACGTACCGGAACTAGGTCATTTGTATGGGGTAAGAATCAGCTTTTAGGAACAGTACAACAGTTAGTGTCGGCCCATAGATCATCTGTTATCTAGGATGTTCATTGATGTCATCGTTCTGAATAAGGGGATATTATCTGGATTTGCTTCCGTCCGCATTCATCCTTCCAGAGAAGCGTTTAATATTCCCCTTCAAAGCTTGATGACAGGTCTTGATGAGTCATGAGCTGAGGTGTCTCTTTGATATTGGTAAAATACATTTTCTGAAATTGATATCGGTGAACTTTTCTGGGGCAGAACTTGAAACTCCCTAAATACTCTCCTTCCACTTTGCTATATACATAATTTTTATTTATGGTTTCAGCTATGCTTGGGAGTTTCAAAATATTGTTAACACTGATTTATTTTTTAAACAGTTTTCTCAACGAGTTAAAGATTGTAACATCCAGTGTATATTTTCTATGTTAAATGAACATTCTAATTTAGAGTTCTATTCATGTGTCAAAAGTACGTTTAATATGGAATTATACTTGTCAGCATTATATAACAAAGATTTAAGAAGGTTTTTATCACTTTTAAGATTTATTGAATTAAATATTATGAAGAATAGAGGTAGAAGAAATAATATCCCAAGAGAATTTGATTTTGTCCATTTTGTAAGAACATTTTAGAAGATGAGGTTCATTTATTTGCCCACAATATGATGATTTAAGAACAGGATACATGTTAAATATTGACTGTAAAGATAGAAACTCTCTCATTCGCCTTCTTCAAAATTAAAATAGCAATTATTTATATATGTATGCAAATTATATTAAGGAAGCGTTTATGCGACGTAGCGCATTATTATTGTGAATATATAAAAATATGTTCTAGTTATTGTGCACATCATACCTTTTGTATTGTAATATATATTGAACATGATCCTGTGGCCTTTCTACTGAATAAAGTTATATATATACACGCCAAAACATTTGACTTGGTCATAATTTGTTGACATATTCATGAAGAGTATTTTTCCATTTTAGGGGATATTGATGTCGTCTTGTTCTGACACTTGAACCTTTTACACAGAGACTAAATACATTTATTATCTAAGTTACCTTAAATGTCATACTTGTTTAGCGTTGGACTGGCATAGTCACCAATGTCACCAAATGTGGCAAAATCACATTTCTTCTAAGCATCACAATCGGATACAATCTCTGCAGGGGAAGGTACACTGGCATTTCTTCCTTGATACTTTCTTATTATACTGACATGACAAAACTCGCTGTAATGTTTTATGGTGGCCTATTGCTACAACACTTTTTAATCAATAACATATGGTGGATAGTATCTAGCACGAATGGCTTGACCAGGCTTTGGTAAAAACACTAACACTTAATCGCTTTGACTGAAGTTTCTCTCCTGAATTTGTTTGTCATAATGTACATATGTCTTCTCCTGGGATCCTCCAATTCTCCCTAGCGACATGTTTTAGAAAGCCTGGTAATACCAGTGGAACACAAGGAATAACACTGCTACATAACATACACTCCAACCCACAAAGTGTGAACGTTGTGTGACGCAAATATCCCTAAATATTCTCCTGGACCCCTGCAAACCCTTGGCAGGCCATTGGAGGTGTCCAGATGACACGGGGACTCAGTAAACATTATAATGTTCCAGGCTTGTCTTTTGAATCTCGAACCTTGTCTATAGATGTAACAATCTCGGGGTGGCTGATGATGAACATGACATGGAAGCAAGCGGCGTATCGCTGGACGTGATAGCTTGCTAATGTTTTACTGTCTCTTGTGGCAGATATGTATTATATTTACTGAAACTGTTCTCCTCACTGTACAGCTCAAATACTGCAGATTTGAGGTTAAATTTTAACCCCACCCCAATCACTTATTACCTGAAGATTTTTCGACTGGTTTGCATAACGCTTAATAAAATCTACACACATACTTTTTCAAACAAATACACAATTTTACATATATTAGTGCATTTCTTGAGACATTTTCACAAGCAGACTGTTCTGAACATTTAAAGAAGCTTATTTCATGTGTGAGGCATGTTTTTTAAAGGAGTTTTTCTGCCGAAGGAACGCGGTAATTTGAGCATTACAATCTGAATAAGAAACATCTGTAACGATAATATTAGTAATTGATCAAGCTATGCCAGTGTTGTACTGTTTGATATGTACATCAAAGGCAAAATACTTACCCAGTGCGCTATTCAAATATACAATGTATATTACTATCAGCAAAATGCACTTCATGTTGTTTTGTCTAGCTTAAACCATTTTGAGTAAGATTATGTAATGAGCTTACCACAAAAAGATGTGAAACAAGCATCTGTACGTGAAGGAGCGGCCCAAGGTTATCCTTCCGCATGTCTGATCACGGCAACTGACGTATGTAAAATTCTGTCATGTGGTATCTCCATGTATTTGTCCTTGCCTTGTGGAATAACAGTGCTTGTGTCAGCAAAGCTGGCTGGGATTTAATACGTAATGAGTACTTTATGATTGTCATCGTTTTGTCCCAACATTTTCTGACCTTTTCCCTTATGTTACATATTTCAAAACACATTCGTGATTCACTGAAGGAAAAGTGAATGATTTGTGAAGTAAGGAAAAGTGAATGATTTGTGAAGTAAGGAAAAGAAGTGGGTAAAGGAAAATAGTTTAATAAAAAAAATATGAAAAACACTATTACAGACAACGGGAGGATTTTGAAGGTCTATACCCGGCAATTGCAACATCGGAGAATCATATTTAATGGATTTACTATGATAGTGTGTAATATTTTACATCTTGTGGCATCCTACTGCACCTCCAGTGGTAATATTTACATCTTGTGGCATCCTACTGCACCTCCAATGGTAATATTTACATCTTGTGGCATCCTACTGCACCTTGTGGCAATATTTACATCTTGTGGCATCCTACTGCACCTCCAGTGGTAATATTTACATCTTGTGGCATCCTACTGCACCTCCAGTGGTAATATTTACATCTTGTGGCATCCTACTGCACCTCCAATGGTAATATTTACATCTTGTGGCATCCTACTGCACCTCCAATGGTAATATTTACATCTTGTGGCATCCTACTGCACCTCCAATGGTAATATCTACATCTTGTGGCATCCTACTGCACCTCCAATGGTAATATTTACATCTTGTGGCATCCTACTGCACCTCCAGTGGTAATATTTACATCTTGTGGCATCCTACTGCACCTCCAATGGTAATATCTACATCTTGTGGCATCCTACTGCACCTCCAGTGGTAATATTTACATCTTGTGGCATCCTACTGCACCTCCAGTGGTAATATTTACATCTTGTGGCATCCTACTGCACCTCCAATGGTAATATTTACATCTTGTGGCATCCTACTGCACCTCCAATGGTAATATTTACATCTTGTGGCATCCTACTGCACCTCCAATGGTAATATTTACATCTTGTGGCATCCTACTGCACCTCCAATGGTAATATTTACATCTTGTGGCATCCTACTGCACCTCCAATGGTAATATTTACATCTTGTGGCATCCTACTGCACCTCCAATGGTAATATGTTACATCTTGTGGCATCCTACTGCACCTCCAGTGGTAATATTTACATCTTGTGGCATCCTACTGCACCCAATGGTAATATTTACATCTTGTGGCATCCTACTGCACCTCCAATGGTAATATTTACATCTTGTGGCATCCTACTGCACCTCCAATGGTAATATTTACATCTTGTGGCATCCTACTGCACCTCCAATGGTAATATTTACATCTTGTGGCATCCTACTGCACCTCCAGTGGTAATATTTACATCTTGTGGCATCCTACTGCACCTCCAATGGTAATATCTACATCTTGTGGCATCCTACTGCACCTCCAATGGTAATATTTACATCTTGTGGCATCCTACTGCACCTCCAATGGTAATATTTACATCTTGTGGCATCCTACTGCACCTCCAATGGTAATATTTACATCTTGTGGCATCCTACTGCACCTCCAATGGTAATATTTACATCTTGTGGCATCCTACTGCACCTCCAGTGGTAATATTTACATCTTGTGGCATCCTACTGCACCTCCAGTGGTAATATTTACATCTTGTGGCATCCTACTGCACCTCCAATGGTAATATTTACATCTTGTGGCATCCTACTGCACCTCCAATGGTAATATTTACATCTTGTGGCATCCTACTGCACCTCCAATGGTAATATTTACATCTTGTGGCATCCTACTGCACCTCCAATGGTAATATTTACATCTTGTGGCATCCTACTGCACCTCCAGTGGTAATATTTACATCTTGTGGCATCCTACTGCACCTCCAATGGTAATATTTACATCTTGTGGCATCCTACTGCACCTCCAATGGTAATATTTACATCTTGTGGCATCCTACTGCACCTCCAATGGTAATATTTACATCTTGTGGCATCCTACTGCACCTCCAATGGTAATATTTACATCTTGTGGCATCCTACTGCACCTCCAATGGTAATATTTACATCTTGTGGCATCCTACTGCACCTCCAATGGTAATATTTACATCTTGTGGCATCCTACTGCACCTCCAGTGGTAATATTTACATCTTGTGGCATCCTACTGCACCTCCAGTGGTAATATTTACATCTTGTGGCATCCTACTGCACCTCCAATGGTAATATTTACATCTTGTGGTAATACTGCACCTCCAATGGTACATTACATCTTGTGGCATCCTACTGCACCTCCAATGGTAATATTTACATCTTGTGGCATCCTACTGCACCTCCAATGGTAATATTTACATCTTGTGGCATCCTACTGCACCTCCAATGGTAATATTTACATCTTGTGGCATCCTACTGCACCTCCAATGGTAATATTTACATCTTGTGGCATCCTACTGCACCTCCAATGGTAATATTTACATCTTGTGGCATCCTACTGCACCTCCAATGGTAATATTTACATCTTGTGGCATCCTACTGCACCTCCAGTGGTAATATTTACATCTTGTGGCATCCTACTGCACCTCCAGTGGTAATATTTACATCTTGTGGCATCCTACTGCACCTCCAATGGTAATATTTACATCTTGTGGCATCCTACTGCACCTCCAATGGTAATATTTACATCTTGTGGCATCCTACTGCACCTCCAATGGTAATATTTACATCTTGTGGCATCCTACTGCACCTCCAATGGTAATATTTACATCTTGTGGCATCCTACTGCACCTCCAATGGTAATATTTACATCTTGTGGCATCCTACTGCACCTCCAATGGTAATATTTACATCTTGTGGCATCCTACTGCACCTCCAGTGGTAATATTTACATCTTGTGGCATCCTACTGCACCTCCAATGGTAATATTTACATCTTGTGGCATCCTACTGCACCTCCAGTGGTAATATTTACATCTTGTGGCATCCTACTGCACCTCCAATGGTAATATTTACATCTTGTGGCATCCTACTGCACCTCCAATGGTAATATTTACATCTTGTGGCATCCTACTGCACCTCCAATGGTAATATTTACATCTTGTGGCATCCTACTGCACCTCCAATGGTAATATTTACATCTTGTGGCATCCTACTGCACCTCCATCCTACTGCACCTGGTAATATATTTACATCTTGTGGCATCCTACTGCACCTCCAGTGGTAATATTTACATCTTGTGGCATCCTACTGCACCTCCAGTGGTAATATTTACATCTTGTGGCATCCTACTGCACCTCCAGTGGTAATATTTACATCTTGTGGCATCCTACTGCACCTCCAATGGTAATATTTACATCTTGTGGCATCCTACTGCACCTCCAGTGGTACATATTTACATCTTGTGGCATCCTTGTGGCACTGCACCTCCAATGGTAATATTTACATCTTGTGGCATCCTACTGCACCTCCAATGGTAATATTTACATCTTGTGGCATCCTACTGCACCTCCAGTGGTAATATTTACATCTTGTGGCATCCTACTGCACCTCCAGTGGTAATATTTACATCTTGTGGCATCCTACTGCACCTCCAATGGTAATATTTACATCTTGTGGCATCCTACTGCACCTCCAATGGTAATATTTACATCTTGTGGCATCCTACTGCACCTCCAGTGGTAATATTTACATCTTGTGGCATCCTACTGCACCTCCAGTGGTAATATCTACATCTTGTGGCATCCTACTGCACCTCCAGTGGTAATATTTACATCTTGTGGCATCCTACTGCACCTCCAGTGGTAATATTTACATCTTGTGGCATCCTACTGCACCTCCAATGGTAATATTTACATCTTGTGGCATCCTACTGCACCTCCAATGGTAATATTATTACATCTTGTGGCATCCTACTGCACCTCCAATGGTAATATTTACATCTTGTGGCATCCTACTGCACCTCCAGTGGTAATGGTAATATTTACATCTTGTGGCATCCTACTGCACCTCCAATGGTAATATTTACATCTTGTGGCATCCTACTGCACCTCCAATGGTAATATTTACATCTTGTGGCATCCTACTGCACCTCCAGTGGTAATATTTACATCTTGTGGCATCCTACTGCACCTCCAATGGTAATATTTACATCTTGTGGCATCCTACTGCACCTCCAGTGGTAATATTTACATCTTGTGGCATCCTACTGCACCTCCAATGGTAATATTTACATCTTGTGGCATCCTACTGCACCTCCAGTGGTAATATTTACATCTTGTGGCATCCTACTGCACCTCCAATGGTAATATTTACATCTTGTGGCTCCAATGGTAATCCTACTGCACCTCCAGTGGTAATATTTACATCTTGTGGCATCCTACTGCACCTCCAGTGGTAATATTTACATCTTGTGGCATCCTACTGCACCTCCAGTGGTAATATAGAATTTGTACACTACTAAAATTTCGATGTGCATGCATTATCTGCGTAATTGCGTGATGCGTAGTGCGTATTACGTGTGCGTAGTGTCCAATTCCATGTGTACCTGTATAAAGAGACTATATGATGCATTAAATCAAGTCTTTCTTTTCCTGTAGATCGTACTGATCACAATTGCTGTGTCTACAATGCCACCTTGTTTCTCAATGAACACTGGAGAACTAACAGACATAACAGAAGATGATGAGGATGTGATTATCACAGGTTTATTGTTCTGTTATGTGCAAAAAAACACAGAAATCGAAGGCAACGGTCAATGTTTGGAAATTTGAATAAATATGTTTTACCCTATATGTAGACCAGCTTTCTTGTTGGAGTACAGTGGACTGATCCAAGGGAGGTAACTACATACATGGCGTTCAGGCGTATCGGTGAAGCGACTTGTAC